ACACTACAGCATGATCCACACATTGGGATCATAGCTACCCTACAGCATGCTCCACACATTGGGATCATAGCTTACACTACAGCATGCTCCACACTTTGGGATCATAGCTACACTACAGCATGCTCCACACTTTGGGATCATAGCTACACTACAGCATGCTCCGCACTTTGGGATCATAGCTACACTACAGCATGCTCCGCACTTTGGGATCATAGCTACACTACAGCATGTTCCACACTTTGGGATCATAGCTGCACTACAGCATGCTCCACACATTGGGATCATAGCTACACTACAGCATGCTCCACACTTTGGGATCATAGCTACACTACAGCATGTTCCACACTTTGGGATAATAGCTACACTACAGCATGCTCCACACTTTGGGATAATAGCTACACTACAGCATGCTCCACACTTTGGGATAATAGCTACACTACAGCATGCTCCACACATTGGGCTCACAGCTACACTACAGCATGTTCCACACTTTGGGCTCACAGCTGCACTACAGCATGTTCCACACTTTGGGCTCACAGCTGCACTTTAAAAATGATGTTTAAACCCCACTATTAATGTAGACAAGAGTACCCCAAGAGTCAGCAGTGGTTTGTTGACTTCCCATGGCTATGCACAGACAGTATATTTTGATATCATACAATATTTTGATGAATAAAACTGGGTCACTTTCATGCGTGTTAGATATAGAGCAATAAATAAGTCAGTGTATTTCCATCTATAAACTTTAGGATTATTCAGTGGAAAATTAAAACAGAAAAGAATATTGGCTGATAATCTAGCTAGGTAACTAATCGTTTTCTAAAGAAATATTCTTCCAAAGAAGAAGAGAAAACAAACTTAGAATTATACATGTTAGAATATTAAAGAAATAGACAGTTCTTTCACAGTTTTGTTATTAGGATACATGTGTAGCTTTAAAATGGTAAACTGTGTCTGAGAAATTTACCTAGAAAAATATTTAAGAATGTTTATTTTCTTCAAAAATTTGTATTGTTATGATGTCTTGAATGTTTCAAGTTATTTTTTCTCGTACATTTTCTATCTTACTGCAAAAGAAACGTCAAGAATTTTTTATTTTTTTATTTTTTTCGTTACTGTACTTAAAAATATCTTGCTTTGTTTTAGCTGGGTAGGAAAACTGCTTTTATTCAGTGAGTTAACCCTAAATTTTGACTTTTAGCTGTCAATGATCTATAAAATAAAGACTGAGCTTTGCTGTTTCTTTTCCTTTTAATAACTTAAGATTTCAAATAAGAGCTCACTTAAACTAGTTGTCTTTTCTGTCTTATCCAGGACTTAGGGAATGCAGATTTAAATAGAGATATGTACATAGTTGTTCAGGTTGTGAGAATAGGTAAGTTACTTCAGTATTAATCCTTATGAAAATGTGATGGTCATGATCTGCTTTTGTTCTTAATATTTTACAGATTCTTGGCTATCTTTTCGTTTCCAGTTCATCGTCTTAAAGAACGAGCAATATATATTAATTGACTCTTTTTAAAGAAAAAGTTATGCATTTAAACACCTGTTTGTTTCATGAAAGTAAAAATTAGATTTACAGTTAATGAATGAGAAGTTAATTAATTAGTTAGTTGATATTAAAGTATTAAACAGAACTATGTAATATTTTGTCTTAACAGAAAGGAAAAGAATCTAGTCACTGAAACATAGTGTAAAAGCAAATACACCTAACATGTACTCTTGAATCTAGTCACTGAAACATAGTGTAAAAGCAAATACACCTAACGTGTACTTTTGAATCTAGTCACTGAAACATAGTGTAAAAGCAAATACACCTAACGTGTACTCTTGAATCTAGTCACTGAAACATAGTGTAAAAGCAAATACACCTAACGTGTACTCTTGAATCTAGTC